GAACCATGACCTCCTGGTTCATGGGTCGATGCTCAACCACTGAACCATACCGGCTGGGTCTTTTGACAAATTAAGCATTAGCTGTGCCGTAGGAACCTTCAGAGTCCTCTGCCCTTAAGGGACCTTGTCTTGGCTCACAGTCATTTAACAGAAATGCAAGATTACATTTTGACATGAACATGAATCTGACTACATAAAATATGCCAATAAAAATTAGACTGATTTCTATAGACAAGAGGAGTTAGAGAGAGATAAAATAAAACAGAATCCAAGGATTTATAATTGGGAATATGATCTAAATTCAGACAGTGGATCAGTCACAGTCTTTCCAAGCCACATGGATGAGTCAGAAACAACACAGAAGGTGCTGTCCCACTGATCGGCTAGCCTACTGCAATCAACTCGCACATTTAAGTCATTGGTATACCCTAGCATGAGAGCATTTTGCACTTGAGAAATACTTTCTGCAATCAAGTGTAGAGAAACGATTTAAGCTATTGGGTATCAACCCATGAAAATGGAAATGCCACTTCCAGACCCTTGTGAAATCAGCCTCTACCAAAAGGGATGAGCCAGGGTAAAAGACAATTTTATATCTCTATTTTTAGTTTTGACTTATTGCCATCTGGACACTCCAGCTGACCTGGGAAGCATTTGGTCCGTGTTCAGACACACCCTTTAGCGGTGGCCTTCAGAAATGAGAGCTTTGGACTCTGCAGTGACAGACAGGAGGGGGTGAGCTATCAGAGTCCCCACCCCTGTATGAAAAGGAAACTTCACAAAGGGGTGCTAAAACAGGAATTCTGATTAGCCCATAAGACAGGCAAAGGCAAGATAGAGTTTAGCTTCATATCATGCAACTTGTCTTTTTTTTTTATTGCTTTTGTTACTGATAATAACCTTCCAGTTGCTTGCTTCTCCAACCCTAAAGGCAGATCAGTATCCTCTGAGATATGACAATCCTCTCTAATTCCACCAAAAAAACCCTAGACTCTAAAAACCCGAACCTAGAGAAGCTCTGGCATCTCTGTAGCAAAGGTCAATTCCAGACACATTCCTCATTATCACCCAGGGCTTTGCTGAGCTCCTTACCTGAGACACAAAGGGAAGCATGAAGCCAGGGAAAACAAATCATGGCCTTACTGTAGGATGGATGGGAAGGTAATTTTGAAAGACTTTAGGAATAATAAACAAGACATTTCAAATAATAAACAGTTCATCTTGAGACCTGTAATGGGATTTTCTAAATTGCCTTAGCTTTTCTAATTTCTAGAAAGTAAACTGTTTCTTCCTTGCCACACTAAAGGAGACAGATGCATTTATCAGAAGAGAAATAAAATAGTGATTCAACTGTAGAGTAACGTTAACCAGTATTTTTTTTCCCCTCTGGATGTAGAGGGCAAAGGACATCATTTCAAGATTAAAACAAAAGCAAATGTAATTTTAAATGATCAAAAGTAATATATTTACATCAGTTTTTCCCCCCAAGAATTTCACAGTCTCTGCTGATCCATATTAATAGATATATTATACATTTTAAGGGAGAGAAATCGGACAAACAAAAAGTTAAAGCTCACTATCCCTTCCACTAGTAGTGCCCAAATCATGCCTAAACTGAAGCCAACAGTATCTGCTTCAGGAAACAGTTCAGGATAAAATGGATTATAGAATCCCATCTACTTTTTAGGTACCCCCCATCCCACATTACCAAAAATCACATCATGTTCTAGGTTAAGTATGGCTAAGAAAACATACTGTCAATCCTACAAAAGAGAAGAAAGGCCAGAAGAAAGCATCACACACTCTGAGAACCAAGAATGTGAATTAAGGAAGAGTTAACATTGTCATTGCTGTCATAACCAAATGCTAATCGTGTCCTCTAGAGCCTTTGTCCTTTGTTTCTCACCACAGCCAGAACTCAGAAGTTCCTGAGCTCTCCGGAGTAAAGGTGCTATTTGCCTACCCTAGATCCATTTTCCCTCCTTAATAAATGAAACTCTGGTGTTCTGTCCAGGTGAAAAACTACATTTCCCATCATCCCTTGCAAAAAATCGGACAAACAAAAAGTTAAAGAGAAATGGCTGGGTGGAGCTTACAGGAATACCCTATTGTCTGACTTTCTTTCCTGCTGGTTGCAAGACCTGACTGACTAAGTAACAAAAACCTCTGGAGGGAAAAACCAAAAGATTGTTAATGGGCATGAGAAAAATTGACTCTCATCAATTTAAACCACTATGCTAGGCCTTTTTCCTAGCAAATGATGCCAACCCCTAACTGCCTTTGCTCAGGATCAAGTCTAAAAAAACACAAACGCTCCTGACCAGGATCACTGCCCTAGAAAGTGGGAATAGTTAGAAATGTGGAGAGATGGCATTACAGGGGCTCTTTTGGGACCATTGTGCTGTGGGAACGAGAGGGAATGTCCCTTTAGAAAAGTCCGTGTTCAATTGACTGTAAAAGATAGCCCAAGGCTAAAGGGCTGTTATAAGGAATTAGTTCAAGAACTGCTTTTTAATTCTTTGTCAAAAATGTTTTGCAGATGCAAAACCATGAATACAAAGTCTTGGACAAATTTAAAGCTGAAAAAAATCAACCACAAATATATCAACTATTGATTTAAGTTATTTTGTGGATGGAAAGGTGGATTGGACTCATTTTATTGTACTTATAAACTGTTGTGTCAAAATGGTTGCTCACATGTGAGAAATAGATAGTTCACTTATTAATTATTTATTTATTAATAACCCGGGGTTATTTATAACATGAAAAGTGGCCCAGGCTCAAAGGGATATTAAAATGAACTGAAATGAAATGTACAAGCATTACATTTCATTATACATTTTGTTTTAAAAATTGTGGTAAAATATACACAGCACAAAACGTTCCATTTTAACTATTTTTAAATACATTAAGTACATTCAAATTGTTCTCCAACAATTAGCACCATCCAGCTCCAAAATGAAACTCTGTACCCATTAAACACTAACTCCCCATGTCCTCCTCCCCTCAGCCTCTGGCAAACAGCATTCGACTTTCTGTCTCTGTATAAGTGACATCACACAATATTTGTCCTGTGTGGAACTGGCTTATTTCTCTTAGCACAATGTCTTTGAGGTTCATCCATATTGCAGCATGTGTCAGCGTTTATTTCCTT